GGACTTCTTTGTAGCACTAATCACATTTACAATTAAACATACATTTCTATATTTTTAAAATGTTCTCCCACCCTAGATTGACTGTAAGTATATGTATGGTGTTGACATTTAATAGATGCTGGAGAAATATTGGCTGAATCAATAAATGAATGGATGAATTCAAATCTACTGTGAACATGTGTTACACAGTAATAGACACAGTTCCAAGTTTACCAATATGGGCCTGATGTACAAGTCTTGGAGAATGTTGAATGACAATACTTCTGGCATGTTTTATTTTAGATCCCAGTAGCTGCTGCTGTGTCTATCTCCTGAAGTATGTAGCTCTCAAAGACAGAAGCTGATGGTTGAACTACAATGAATCTAATGTAAAATCTGCAGAAATTATTTAGTTAAAAATAATTTTAAAAGATTGGTTACTGTGTGTTCTACAAACCCACTTGGCCTGGTGAACAACATTTTCTGTTGCACATAGTGTGTAAGAATTCACCTAGAAGTTGACACTTTAGGGGTGTTATTACTTACAATTATCTGAGTGCTGATACTGCTCAAGGTAACGCATGTGGCACCTGACCTCTCTGTGCTACATTCCAGGTAAGCATCTCTGTCTACACCTGGATGTCATCTGTCACTTTGTTTTGGTCTTTGCTCCAGTGGTTGTTAGTGCTTCCTGCTCAGAATCAGCCTGTCTTATTACCACATATGCCAGTGTGTCTTTCTGTCACAGAGGTGTCTTAGCTGCACTATGCTTCAAGTAGGGTGTGTGGTTCTCCTGTACCAGTGTTTCAACCTGCCTGCCTACTGCTGTTTCCCTCTGAGCTGTGGCTTCAGCATCTGTAGGTAAAGTCACCAATAATCTTGGTCCAGTGGTTTCCACAATAGCTTCTGTGCAACATGTAAGTTAGCATGATTAGTGTCTCTAGAAACAATATGGAGAGGTAGGTATGAGCATGAGCAATGAAGTGAGGTGAACCTGGGTTCATTTCTGCCATTGACATGTACTAGTTATGTGGTTTTGATAAACCTGACCCCGTTTCATCAGCTTTTAAATGACCATATTACAGAATGTAAAAATAATTTAGTGAAAAAATGTATGTAAAGTGATTAACATGGTGACTATTACTACTATGACTATTACCATTACTACTGCTACTATTAATATTTCATGTTATGCCTGAGCTGAATGAATTTCACTAATCCATATAATCTATGGCAGATATCCAGAGACCATTTTCCTACAATTAAAAGTGCCTTAAAATATCCAAATAGACAGTTCTGTACTCTTTGGGGAAGCCTTCAGGCAGTTCTTCAGAATCTTCATGCTGATAGATCTGTTTAGGTTCAAATTATGTTGAAGAAAAGAAGGGCAGATGAAAAGTGAGGACAGATAAAAGACTTGTAAATTGAAAGTTATACTTGAGAATCACGTGGAAGCCCTTGTTATCTATTTTGCAAATTAGTTTGCTTTTTAAATTTTCAAAAAGCTCAGCGTGCCTAGCTAGCAAGTCAGCAGGAAGCAAGATTTTGGTGAGTTTCTTATGCATACTGCATATTCATAATGGCTCATTTCATAAAGTATATAAACACATGTGTAACATATCCTTAGGTACAAATACATAGGCTCCTGTTTGGAGTCTGATTTTCAAAATTATCATTTGTCAGCACTAGATAGCTTTGCCCTAGGGCTACTAAAGATGGTGGAGAACAGAGAAAGAGGCATGGTGGCTTCTGCACAGGTGGCCATTGTCCCTTCTCCCCAGTGCCCTTGTAACTTTCACATGGGGGATCTTTTCCCTTGTGATGGGGTAAGTACAAGCATCACATCAGGCTCATTGGCAGGTGAATTGACTAGGGGGTGTTTTCAGTGACATTCTAAGGTAGAGGAGAATGTGCATATTCTTCATCTTGGGTGTTTTTGAAGTTTTAACCCTCTTTGTTGGGCATTGAGTGAGATGATAAAGTGATTGTTCCAGGTCTTGAATTCCAGATATTAGACTCAGGATAGGGTAATATTTACTTTATCTACCCATGAGGCTTCCCTCTTTGGACCTTCTTTGGACTTGGGGCCCACTGCCATAATGATTTTTACTTAATTTTACAGATACATTTTATCTCAGTGAATTTTAATCTGAAACATATTAAACAATATCTGCCACCATCTTTGGTAATTTACAGAGATGAATTTATGATGCTTTTAAATATATTTGTGCAGGAATATATATACACACACACACACATGCATATATGTATCTATATGTAAATGTAATATGTACATACATAAAATAGGTGTACAAATATACATATCTCTCTGTGTGTGTATATCTATGTGTGTGTGTGTATTTATGCTGTCCAATGAAAGAAACTTCAGTTTTTGTAAACTTATTTTATAAATCTTACAACTGACAAACAGTATTTCTATAGCTATTCTTGACCAGTTCCGAAATGGAAGAGAATCTTCTGCAGATACCCTCCTGTGCCACTGCACCTAAACATTCAAATTATATATGTGTATTACATTGTATTGTATGTATCACAGGCTGATGATAATCCTGATGCAAGTTGCTAGGGGCCTCATGTTACAACTATGGAGGTTCAGATTTCCACTTTATCCCATTTCTCAGGCATCCCATTTGGGGGTTGTCTGTGCTGGGGAGCAGAGGAGAGATGCCAATTTTTCACTTCTCACCTATAGGGAAGTGATATCTCCTGAAACTGCAAGCTGTGTTCATTTCTTCCTTTAGGCTTACTGGCTAATTCCAGGACTCTGAGCTATTTGTGGACTATTGGGATTATGCTTTCTCAACCTCAGCAGCCTTCTGTGGATTGATACTTAGAAGTTTCCAGCACACTGAATATGAGTTCTGCTGTCTTTGCTCTTTTGACATCAGGCAAAGACAACATGTTTCAGTCCAGATGGTGTCAGTTTAATCACTGGCACCTAATGTAGCATGATACACTAGTGTTGACCCAATGTACATTATGGGTAATTTTCTGAGATTTTGCTTTGGAGAAGAGAATAGAGAAGACTTTGGAGAAAAAAATTATTTGTAGTAGTATGAAAAGCTGACCTAAGATTTTTATTTTTCGAAATTAGCATCAAATATGTAAATATTGCCATTTTAATAGTAGGAATAATCACTTATTGAAAATCTAAAATGTGCCATTGAATGTAATTGGTTGCTGTACATGTGCTTGTAATCCTTAAATTCTACACTCTTTGCCATGCATGGTCTGCCTTCTGTTAACCTCTACAACTATATCAGCTAGGAATAGTGGTTGTGTGTTAGGTAAAAGAAAATTCAACAAAATGAGTCAGTAAAGGAAGAGACCAACTTCTCTTGTGTAAAGTTTTTTCTAAAGTAGGAAGTCCGAGCAGATAATCAAGAGACTCATCCAAGAGCCCAGGCCCCTTCTATCTTTCTTCTATGCTCTCTTTATCATGGAGTTTTTGTCTTTATGGTCACAAGATGGTTGCTACATCTCCAGATACTGCATCACTGTTCTAGGCAAGAATAAAGACGTATAAAGGGCAAATGTAAGAGTTTGATACTGTTTTCAATTTAGACAGAAAGGCTTTCCACTGGGAATTGTGCCTCATCTCATTGGCTAGAGCTGTGTCACATGGCCAGCCTCATGCAAGGTAATCAAAGATACTATTGGGAGCAAACAAGGGCAGAATGGGAGTCAGTCAGTGTCTGCCTCTATAACTGCATCTTACACCACTCTGTGCATCATTCACTGTGCTCCAGTCACACTGGTTTCCTTCAATGTGGCAAGCTCTTGTCTCCTCAGAGGATCTTTGCATTTACAGCTTTTTCTGCTTGGAATATGCTAAGCAGAGCTATGGCCATACTATGTCGGGTGGTACCCCTACTATTCCTAACCAGTTATTCTCTATTTCATGACTCTAGCCCCTGTCCATAATTATACCATTTATTTGTTTACTTGTGTAATATCTGATTATGTGAACTCTCCATACAGTTCTTTTCTATTTTGTTTCTGTTGCTCATCCCTGTGTTCCTAGCACCAAACATGTCAGCTACATAGAAAGTGTTAAATAGAAGTTAATTAATTGAATATTTTATTTTGTCTACTATTTCCAGAAGTCCAGTGGATAGGTAGCCACTTGCTTGCAGTCACAGAAGTACTGAATGCATCAGAGCCAGAATTAGAACCTAGGTTTGCCTGGCTCTTTCCAAAAACACTGTTTCTCACAGAAGGAGGCTCATCTGGCAGTTCTCAGAAGTCTCTCTATTTCAGAGCCCAAGGTCATGCTCTACACCAAGCTAATTGATTTGTTTGTCACTTCCATAATAGCCCAGGGTTACTGACATTAGCACTTCTCTAGAAAGCCAGTTTTTCATTTGATTCTCCCAAGAAGGCCAGAAGCGAGAGTATTTGTGGTTTTCCTTGAATGGCTTCATCCTCAATGATGGAAAATTAACTTCATTTTGCTGACCAGTAAATGGGAAACTGAAGTCCTTAAGATATTGATTAACAAAGGTTTTTTGCTCAGAGATAAGAAAGTTATTCTTTTCAGAGAAAGGATGGCTTTTCGATTCAGGTTAGTTATTTCCAAGCATTAGTTCTAAATTGTAGTCAAAATTCATTTTGCACATAAATCCTGTTTAATGAGACCCTCCCCTGATACACCTTTTATGAAACTATTGATCAAAGGCTCTGGTACTGGAAAAAGACTCTGACATTAGAAATGGGTCAGCTCTGGTGATCTAGTGTACAGCATGGTGACATAGCTAATACTGTATACTTGAAATTTGCTAAGAAGTTTGATTGTTAAGTATTCGTACCACACACATGTACACTAAATAGTTAACTATGTGAGGTGATATGTTAATTAGCTTGATTGCAATAGTCATTTCACAAAGTCTATATACAAACATCAAAACATTACATTGTACCCCTCATATATGTACAATTTTTTACTTGTCAAGTATAACTCAATGAAGCCAGAAAAAAAAGCCAGGCACCGTGGCTCATACCTGTAATCCCAGCCCTTTGGGAGGCTGAGGTGGAAGTGTCACTTGAGCCTGGGAGGTTGAGACTGCACTGAGCTGAGATAGTGTCACTGCACTTCAGCCTGGGTGACAGAGTGAGACCTTGTCAAAGAAAAAAAAAAAAAAAGGGCAAAGAAATGGATGAGGTCTCATTTGTTGTCTTATCCTCTTGGCAATTCAAAGTTTCTCCCTCTTGCACACTTGGTAATTTCTCCAGTGCATTTTGAGAACTCTTAATGTGTTTCTATTCCCACTCTGGAAGCTTTGCTGCACATCTGGAAGGCTTATTTTTGTTATTATTGTTGTTAATTTTTCTGTCAGCCATGCTTCCCTCTCTGCTTCTGCCTGAATCACCACCAGAATATGTGCTTTTAAAAGCCTTCAAATTCTTTTTGAAAATTTTCAGGGGTTTGTGTTTAATTTATCTTGGAATAAGAAATAAAGACCCAGCTTGATTTTTCTTCCAATTTGTTCCCATTTTCTTTAGTTTTACATCTTTTTCCCATTGATTTGAAATGCCACATGTACCATGTATTAAATTTCTATTTGTATTTGGTTCTAGTTCTTCATTTTTTTAGTTCCATTGAAATGGATACTCTTGTGTAGTATAAAATGTTTTATATACCAAAGTTTTGTAATTAGTCCTATCTGGTAGAGCTAATTCTGCTCAATGCTGTTTTGCAGAATTTCCCCACACATTCTGCATTCATTCAGCAACTATTTATTGAAAATTTTACCATGTGCCATACACTATTCTAGGCCCTGGAGATATGGTAGAAAACAAAACAGAAAAAGTCCTTGCGTTTGTGGAGCCTACGGTTTTAGTAGAGGATACAATCTATAGGAAATTAGGACTTGGAGAATGTTAGAGAAAGGTAAAGGAAAGCAGGGTGCCAGGAGCCCTGGGGGGTGGTTTTAAGTGAGGCATCACTGAGGTGACATTTGAATGGAGATTTCAAGGAGGCAGAAATTAGCTATTTGGGGATGAACATTCTATGACAAACAAAGAGCAGGCACAAAGTTGTTGATATGAGTATGCACCTTGTTTCTTACAAAAATAACAAAGAGGCCAGTGGGTCTAAAGTGAACAAAGTGGGCAGGGAAAGTATTAGGATACAGGTTCAGAGGGGAATGTAGGCCAGATGGTGTCAGACACTGAAGGCCATTGCACGGATGTTGGCTTTTACCCTGCCCAACATTGGAAACTATGAGAAGGTTTTGTCCAGTAGAGTGACATGAAATGCCTTAGGTTTTAAAGTAAATGAGGCCAGGCATGGTGGCTCATGCCTATAATCCCAGCACTTTGGGAGGCTAAGGCAGGTGGACCACTTGAGGCCAGGGATTCAAGACCAGCCTGGCCAACATGGTGAAACCCCATCTTTAATAAAAATACAAAAATTAGCTGGGCGTGTTGGTGAACATCTGTAATCCTAACTACTCGGGAGACTGAGGCGGGAGAATCACTTGAACCTAGGAGGTGGAAGTTGCAGTGAGCACCACTACACTCCAGCCTGGGTGACAGAGCAAGACTCCATCCACCCACCCACCCCAAAATAATAATAATAAATAAAAATAAAAAATAAAAGAAATGACCTGACTGCTCTTTTAAGAGTATATTGTGGGGTAGCGGCAGATACAAGAGAGCAGTTGATAGACCGCAGCTGTAATCCAGGTAGAGAGATGATGTTAGATGGAGCAGAGTGATAGTAGTGGAGGTTATAAGAAGTGGAAGGAATCTGAATATATTTTCGAGGTATAATTGGAAGTATTTTATGACTGATTGGATGTGGGGTATTGGAAAAAGAAAGACATCTTTAAAAACTCTAAGGATATTTTTGGTCTAAACCAATGGATGATTAGAATTGGCGCTAAATGAGACAAAGAAGGCTGCAGGGGGAGAGACTTAGGGAAAGTCAGGGCTCTGCTTCGATATGTTCTTCTACAATATCTTTTATCATCTGATTGAAGATATTAAGTAGGGAGTGGAATACATGCATCCAGAGTCTGAGATGTCTGAAGTGGATCTGAACATTTATGGGATTTTGGTATATTGATGACATTTAAAACATGAGATAGGCTTTTATGATTTTTTTGATAAAATATGCCTAAATCAAAATCCAATTAACTTTATAGATTAAAAAGATAAACTACTTAGCCTCCCAAGTAGTTGGGATTACAAACATGATTAGGGAGAACTGATTTCATTGAGTCTTCTCACTCAAAATAAAAAATCTTCCATTTTCCAATTATTCAAGTCTTTTTAGTCCTCAATCTGATTTTTATGTCTTCTTCATATAGATAGTACACATTTGTTACTAAGTTTATTCCTAGATATTTTTATAACTTTTTGTTATGAAATATGAACATCATATTCTCTGAATCGGGGTAAGCACTTCCTTTTGGTAAAGGCCAGATAGTAAATGTTTCAGTCTTTTCAGGACCCTGTCACATATGTGTGCAGGCGTGTGTGTGTTTTACAGTCCCTCTGCCATGTAGGGTCTGGGCGCAGTGGCTAGCACCTGTAATCCCAGCACTTTTGGAACCCCTGGGCGGGAGGATTGCTTGAGACCAAGAATTCTGGACCAGCCTAGGCAACATAGCAAGACTGTGTCTCTACAAAAAAAGATGAAACAAAAAAAGGGTGTGGTGGTGTACACCTATGGTCCCAGTTACTCAGGAGTCTGAGGCAGGAAGATCACTTGAGCCCAGGAGTTTGAGGCTGCAGTAAGGTAGGATCATGCCACTGTGCTCCAGCCTGGGCAACAGAGCAAGACACTGTCTCAAAAAAATAAATAAATGAGGATATTAAAACCATCCTTACTTTGCTGGATTAGGTGCTCAGACCATAGTTTGTCAATCTTTGCTCTAAGTAGTTACTACTTATAAACAGGAAAGCTATTGATTTGTATATATTAATGTTGTAACCAGTAGTATTACTTAATTTGTAAAATTAATCTTAGTTTCCTGATATAAAATTATATTATCTGAAAATAGTAACTTTGTCCCTTTATTAATTTTAATAGATCATTCTTTTTTCTTGTTTAATGATAAGGGCTAGCATCTTCAAAACTCTGTAAAATTATAACGGTGTCTTATCTTCACTTAGATTTATTTCAGAGTTTCAGAATCTATATTGTAAAGTGATGTCTTTAGAAAACATTTATTTCTATTTTACTAAGAATTTTTATTTTCAGAAATAAATTTATACATTTTATAAAATGCTTTCCAATATTTATCATGACCCTTATATGGTTTTTCTTCTTGGGTCATTAAAATATTAATTTAAATGGCTATTGAAGTGATAAGTAAAATGTAATAGGCAGGCTTATGTCTGCAGAAGTTAGGGAGGACCATTCTGCCAAGGGAGCTTGGCTAAGGGATGCCGATAGGAGCTGAAATCTACCTTCCTCTCCTGTTGGCAACTCTGTCACCATTCCCCTGGAACAATGTTCTCCCTCCTTAGCATCTATCAGAATCACCCAATCGACCTGTTAAAACTGATTACTGGTCTCTACCCCTAAGGTTTTTGATTCAGTAGGTCCAAGTAGGGCTGAGAATTTGCATTTCTAAAAAGTTTCCAAGTGAAACTGGTACTGCTAGTACTGGGATCCACAGTTTGAGAACAATTGACCTGGAGAAGGAGCTGTCATTTTCTAATTTGTACAAAGAAACCCTGGTAGCTAATGACAGTCTTGGTGAATCAGAATGGAATATGAGCATGTAGACAGTATTGACACTATAGGAAAAAGTACAGATGTAAGATACCATCCAAAGGGAATGGTGGATGACTCAGCTTTGGTAGACTTCAAGATATATATAGGAGTCTATTAATGGATAGCCTTTGAGAGATCAATTTTAGTAGGATGATTAAGGTGGAGGCTAAATTTCAAGAGGTTAGAAGTGAGTGATATACCAGGAATTAGAATTAAACAATTGGATAATAAGAAGAAAAGGAGCCAGCAGAAAGGAAGAGACTGCAATTATCAAAGGACAAATTTGGGACAGACATTTGTAAGGAAAAATGTAGGGAACATATGAAAATTTTTTAAATAGGGGTTGTCCAGGAGCAGAGGCAAGCCAGAAATGCTCACATCTTGGCACGGTTTGCTTTGTGTATGATGAAAACTGTTAAAGTGTTTTGTGCATGGGTGCTTTCATTTGCTTCTTCCTATGGCAAAGTGTAGAAATTAAAAATCCATGAGGAATGATGCCAGTGCAGTTGATGATCCCCTATGCCTTTGCCTGTTAAATAAATGGGAGGTAAAAAGAACTTTGAAGATATACAATCAGAGATATTGCTGTTACAACAGAAAGTTGTGAAAAAATAAATAAACCTACTCAAAACGTTTTTAGGCTGCTGAATGGAGTCTCAAATGCCTCTGTCAGCAAAAGATGCTGTTAGGTAGGTCTTATCCTCTTCCATCCTTCTCTGTGACATGAACTTCCCTTCTTTACTTTATTCAACTACTGGTAGAGAAAGAAGACCAGAAATAGCTACGATCAATACTTTGCAACTGTCTTTGGCTGAAATCCTATAATGACCAAAGGCAGATAGACGACTCTGCGCAACAAGGCCTCTTGGGGAGCTGTGATAAGAAGTGAATTTGAAAAAAAAAAGATCAAGAGCTTTTGGTTTCCATGGAACTCAAAACCCTAATACTAGATAAACTAGAAATCACTGTAATTATAATTGGAAGTAGCAGTACTCAATCCAGAGCCAAGACTTGTGCCCATAATGTGAACTAGAGAATTAGCTTGGGGCTGGGTGTGTGTATACATGTGTATATTCTGGACTTTTTATTGCCTTAAGCAAGTGCAACATGGAATATCGACTTGAGCACTGCAAAGAATGAACCACTTTAATTCATGTATTACACTTCAGAGTCTGATCTTGCTTCAATATGGCATATGAGTTTTAAGTAACAACCAGTCATTTTCATATACACTGATTCATTTGATGCCTCCACCAATCTGTGAAAGTGCTGTCCTTATTGCTATGGAAAAAACACTGGTCAAAGAATGAGCT